GATACAAACTGAAAATAATTTGACAATATGTAACAAATATTTTAAATGTTCCTATACCTTGATCAACCCATTTGGAGAGCTGCTAGGGAAATATTCTAAAATTCAGAGAAAGCTTTGGTACCCTTCCTAGGGTTATAATACTGTATGTACAACCTAAATGTACAAGAAGGAAATTATACTTCCAGTCAGTAGACTGTTACATAGCCATTAAAAATGGCAGCTATTAACTTGGGTGGGGGGAGGGGGGAGGAATGCTTATATTTCAATATTAAAGTAGAAAATATATAAAATTAGATATAAAATTATGTAAAATGAATAATTCTAACCACATAAACAAATGCATGAAGGAAAGGTATCAAAACAGTAAAAGCAGTTATACTTGTTTATAGTTTACTATGTTTTCCAGATTTTCTAGAAGGATTGGATGACTACCAGGAAAAAACAAGATGATTTTCAAATTAGATTTTTCTTTGTTGTTGTTGTTGTTTGATATAAGGAACAGTCTCACAGCACTGATACTAAGCTTATGGGACATACATTCTTGTTTCTCCCTGGCTTTTTTATTAAGAAACAGAGAGGAGAGAGTTGAGGAAAGGGAAGGAAAAAGTGGGGGCAGCTCTCTTATCCTGATTAATCTCTGCAGTGAGGTGGGCGGACATTGTCATCTTTGTAGAGCCAGGAAAAAGGCTCAGAAAGGCTCAGGTCCAAGGTTGCCTGAAGGGCAGAGTCAGGGTTCAGACCCAGGCTATGGGGCCCTCGGTGCTCCCTCACCCTCCCACCCAGGGTAACCCAGCCAGGATGGGGCAAGAAATCACAAGGAAAGGGCAAAAGGTGAGTACAAAATCCTAGTGGTTATTCATATAAAAGTATTTTTTTAAAACATTGGTTTTAGTGTGTAGCATTGTGGACAGTGTTTTCCCTCCTCTTTTTTCTAGACTTTCTGTAAAGTAATATTAACTTTCTACTTTCACACATGGGCAGAAAGAAAACTGCCTTTGGATTCACTGAACTGTGAGCTGCAAGGAGATCCTGCCCCGCTTCTGAGAAGACTAAAGGAGTTGGGGGGGAAGGGGGGGAAGGGGAGGCAGGACACACAGCTCCTGTCCCAAGCCAAACACCGCACCATAGGGCTGCAGGAACCTCAAGATTTGGGGGAGGAGGTTGCAGCCTGTGCGCATGTGGGTGCCTGGGTGTGTGTGTGGGGGGGTGGGTGGGTGGGTGGGTGGGTGGGTGGGTGGGTGTTGTAGGAGTTGCCTGTGATGGGGAGCAGCAGGAGCTGTGGGGATTTCTGCAACAGTGAGCCTTGCACCTCAGAGGGAGTCAGCTTCACCCTGCAGCTACTCCACACCATCCACACGGGTTGCACACTTTACAGAGAGGTGTCCGCCATGGCTCACTTCTCTACAGTCCGCATTCTCAATCACAAAGCATGAAGAAAGGCAAATGTTGAGGATGAGGCAGGACCTAGAGGTGAGCAGCTTTTGTTCTAGTGGGATCGGGCTCTACGGACTGTATGTGGTTCTGGGGAAATTCTGTCCAGTCGTTCTCCATGGCCCACTGCCCTCATCCTGGAGGGTAGCATTTCTCAGAGAGCTCTGTCTCACCTCAGTGGGCAAGTGGGACACTCCTAGGCAGGAGAGCTGTGGCTCCATCCCAGGAGAGAGGAATAGGGAAACTTAGTTATACAATTCAAACACAAAGAAACATTAAGGGGAACCCTTTTCTTCCCAGAAAATGTGCCTACGATTATTCTACCCCAGTACCAAGTGCTTTTATTTTTCCAGCTACTTTATCAACCTGTGTTCCTAGGTATAAACAAGACTGTGGGAAGTCACCTGAGCCCCTCTGGAGAGCCATTTCCAGAAAGTGACAGGGATTTAGGAATGAGTGCGTGGTAAGGAGGCAGCGGGGGTGAGTTTGGCAAAGGGAAAGCAGCACTAGTTCAGGGGCTTGAGTGGCTAGTGAAGGCAGATGATCTGTGTGGTTAAGCTGGGGTGGGAAGTGATGCAAACAGCCATCTCAGGAGCTGGCAGAGAGGAAGAGAGAAGGGTAAAGGCCCAAGAGGATCTGAAGGGACGAGGCTCTCAAGCAACCTGTCTTGTGAGTGCAGAACCTCTTGACGCACTGTTACACCCGCTGCCCAGCTTTGAGGCTCACCACAGACTCGGGAGGCATAGATGGGCACTCTACCAATTCATACCGAGATGTAATTTCCAGAGATGACCCCACTTGTCTGTGGTCACATAGCCATGAGCTGGCTCTTCGACTGAGATGGGCTGACTCCAGTTCTAAGATTTTTTCTGTCCCAAATAGCACTGTGTCCTCTAGCCAAGACAAGGGGCCCTTATTCTTCCACAGACAGAAGGAAGGGGAGGGAGGAGACTGAGGAACGCAGCAAGACTAAGTTGTCAGGGGCTGAGGTAAAGTGAGGAGGAGGGAAGAGGGGAGCTGAGGGAGATCTGTCCCAGATCTCCAAGCAGCTGAGAGGTGGCAACGGGAGTCAGGTTTTACAAATTCATAGTGTGATCAAGTCACCCTGGTGGGTGGTCAAGGGACACATCCACCTAAAGCTTAGGTGACTTTTGACTATACATGGGGGCCTCACAGCCCATCAGTCAATAAAATCCCTCATGGCATTTTCCTAATGAGCATTTACCCAAGGCATTGAGGGGGGAGGGGCACTGAGCTAGGAAGCCTGTTTTCATTTTCCCCTGTTCCATCTAACTTTGTCAACTCGGGCAAATCACTTGGAAAATAGGGGAAAACAAGAACCAAATATAAGAAGTCCGGCTCTGTGCCTTCCCAACCTCTCAATCCACTTCTTTTTTCATCACTCTCTTGACTGCCGGGGAGCAAATGATTGTAAGTATCACATGGACCCTTTCTTTTCACGAAATTCAAGAAAATACTGAAATCCAGGCCACTGAGGCCTCCCCTTGGAGAGCGGGCTCCCTTTTACACCTCCTAAGACAAGGCTTTGCACTAAGCAAGACTCAGTAATAATCTCCCCACCAGCATTGGTGTGACTTTGCTTTGCTGCAGACAACTGCCCAGAGGATTCCTTCTTTATAATCTTTCTATGAATGATTTAGGAGTAAGTACCATCTCTGTTTGCATCTGGAGGAATAAAAACATAACAGAGAAATGAAAAAGCTGTGGTGTATCCAAAAATAACACCCAGATATGCTGGCTTCCCAGTTCACCTCTCTGTACCAACCAACTCCTCCTTGATCTGCTTCACACAAGAGAGGCAAACTGGGACCCCCAATGTCCAGATATCCCGGATCAGTTATGAAACTGTCTCAGACTAAATGCAATGAGGTGGCCCAGCAGAACTAGGGTTCCTAATTCTTCCCCATTCTGATGGGCCTGGTCCTAACTCCTTCCCCACTGCAGGTGCCCTGCAGTCACATGCTCTTGTCAAGTGATCTGCAGTTTCAGGCTGCATACTCCGCAGAAAAGAATAGGGGGGAAAATAGAAAGAAAATACGGCTTTCTCCTGAGAACCTCACAACCTCCCAGCTTATAAAGCAACCACCTTGTTACCTTCCTGCAGAGTCCCCACTGGCCAGGAGAACACGCTCTCAGATCAACCCCCCCTCCTTTTGGTGCATCCAAGAGAAATCATACTTGCTGAGGGGATCTGCTGATGTCTCAACCTGGTTCAAAAATGCAGATGTGTGACCACAGGACAGGAAAGGACACTGATGAAACGGCTGAATGTCTCTCTCTCTCTCTCGAAATAGTGAGGCCCACTGATTGCGGAGCCTTTGTACCATGCTTAGCTTCCTCTGCGTCCACCAAACTTTGTGACTCACAGTCTGTTTGCAGAGTGAGGCAGCTGAGAGGGCCTCGGTGGTGGGTTAAATCGGGAACTCGCTCTTCTCCCAACACTCACCCCTCAGGTGCCACCTGAGCTCCTACCTGGCAGTGCGGTTGGGAGGTGATCACAGCACCAGTGTTTTGGCTGGTCCTAGATAGCTGCCAGAACCCAGGACCTGGGTCTTGATGGACTTATGTCCATCGGGATCACATCTCTCTCTCATTCTCTCTCTCTTTAACACACACACCCAGGCACACACAAACACCCCAGCTCAGAGCGTCTGGAGGCTCTGTAAGGCAGCTGTGCTCCAGTGCTCCATTCATTAGAGATACAATGTGAGACCCAAAGCGCTCTCTTTTCTTCACCCACACTGCCTCTAAACCAGAGAAATGCCTGGCAAATGTTTAAAGCAGAACTGTGCATCAGTAGGGTCTGGCTAACTGTTGCACATCAGTTGAGGGGATGGCTGGGGAAGGGAGGAAGAGAGACTGGGGAAGTGGGGGGGGGGGGGAGCAGCCAGAAGGTGGCCGACTCCCCAGAGCTGCGCTGTACCCTCAGCAGCGTCTCCTCCCTTCATCACTGCCGAGGGCAAATCTGGAAGTTAGGGAACCTGGGACCCGCGGGCGGCAGGGGCGGACAGAGGCCACGTCCATCCAGGGGCGGCGACAAGAGACTCCCAGAACTGGCTCGCGCCCCAGCCCTCTGCACCGGCGCCGCCCCCCTCATCCTCGGAGCCCGGCGTACGCAGGCAGCGAGCTCTCCCGGCAATCCCAGACCCGCTTCCCGCATAAAACTCCCCAGCGCAACCCGCTTTTGTTAATTCTGCGAACGCTGTCACAAGACCACCTCCACCAACGCTGCCTCCCTGCGCGGCTCCGAGGGAGACCCGCTCTCCCCACAACGCAGCCGCTCGGGATCACCCCAGTCCCCCGCCCCCTGACGCACCACCGCCCACCCGCCCCACGCCGGCAAACGACCCGCCCGCAGGACTTCCGAGGACTCCAGGGTCCCCGGCCTTAAGCATCTTTGTCCTCTCAGCGCAGCCGCGCGCGCACAGAGCGACAGAAAGAGCCCAGCCGGGCACCGAGTCCGCGCCCCCTGGCCTCGCCGGGCCCCGCAGGGGGACAATGGTCCGCGCCCCGCAAGTTTGCGAGCCCGGAGGCAGAGCCCTCCTTACCGTACATCTCCGCGGGGCGAGCGCCTCCCGGGAGGCCGCGTCGCCGTGTCGCCTGCAGCCAGCACCGGCGGCGCCTGCCTTTCATTCACAGCCTGGGCGGCGGATGGCGGCTGCCGGCGGAGGCCGGGGCGGGGCGGGAGCGGGAGCGAGGGCGGGACGCGGAAGGGCCGGAGCCGGGAGTCGCGCGCCCATTCAGCCGCCCAGGCTGAGCGCGGCCGCCCTCCGCTCGGGTTGCTGGGCAGGGCCGCGCCGGGAGGGGAGGAGGCTATGCTAATGAGGCGTCCCTCCCCCTGGCTCGGCCACTGCCGGGCCGCCCCGACCCCCCGGCCCCGCCCCGCCCCAGGAAATTCCCGCCCTCCTCCTGCAGCGGCCCCGGCAGCCTCCCCAGAAGCCCGAACCCCAAGAAGCGCCTTTCCCAGCCTGTCGCTCCCAGGTTCTGGGAGGCGCGTTTTCCAGCTGCAGCGTTCTTCGGGGGAGTCGCCCCCCCAAATTCCCTGCCCCTGTCGGAATGCGCAGGCCGACAGCTGACATCGCCCCTAACCCGTGGGCCCCGAGGGTCAGCAGGGGCTCCTGAAGCTGCAGGTGTACCCTCCCCCCCCCCCCCCATTTGTCCAGGATGCGTAGGCTGAGCCAGGGGACGCAAGGAAGAGGGACTGAGGAATAACTCTCCTCCCTTCCTTGGCTCCTTAGCGAAGCCCCATTCTCTAATTAAGAACTCCGCTGTGGCCCTCCCCGCCAGTCTCCTGCCGGCCGGGTGCTTGCTACCAGAGAGCGTCCTTCCTGGGACAGGTACGCGGGAAACGCACCCCACCCCACCCCCTCAGTCCTGCAGGAAGCCCGCTTGCTTTTCCTCTCCCAGATTATTTCGTGTGATTCACAATTTTTGCGCCCAGGATCCTCTCTACTTGTGCCCCCAGGCCGACTTCACCCTCTGTGACCACGTGAGAAACAGACCTAAGGCAGAAGACTCACGCCCCACACCCTGATGATATCTTCTGGCCCCGCCCAGGGGTTCCCTAAGGCTTCTCCATCCAGCCTCCTCTGCATCTCACACATTCACCTGGCCTTCCTTTCAGCACCTATTCCTTAGTTTCTCCTCTTACCCCATGGTTGAGGTTTTTGTCCCTAACATATTCTACAAGTAGCAGTGAGGGAGGTAACAACCTTAAAGATGGCGTGATGTCTCCCATTGTACAGAAGAGGAAACTGAGGTGGTTAAATTTGTGTTCTTCCTAGATACTGAGCTGCGTGTCTGCAGGCCAATCATCTACCCTCTCTGAACCTCAGCTTCCTGCAGGACTATTCGGAAGTTTATATAAAACCTACATGAAAGTACACGGTGGGCACTCACACAGTTATTTTCTTTCTTTCCTTCCTCACCCAAGGCAGGGAACAGAACTGGAGGGAGAATCCTGGTTGCTGGACTCTTGGAACAGTGCTCTCTCTTTTGTACCCCAAGCTCATGTTTCTTATTTCTCTCTGGCCTCACCATCTCCTCCTACTCCCTTGCTGTTTCCAGGGTTTTTTTGTTTTGTTTTGTTTTGTTTTGTTTTTTCCTGTTCCTTTACCTCTTTAATTCTCTTAGCAGCACATGTGAGTGCTGGAGGCCCCCCGGGAAAACCTGGGAGGGTTCCCGGATCTCACATTTAGTCTAGACCCTCAGATGACTTACAAAGAAGCTCTAGCTCTATTCTCCAGTTTTAGGAGGTCAGGTGACTTTGAGATCTGCTGAGAGTTACACCTGAACCAGGGCAGAAGGGAGAATTTGGAATCAAGCTTGGTCTGGACACCTGGAGATACTCCCAGCTCACAGTTCAATTCAGCACAAACTATACTCATTAAACGCTGGTGCCTGCAGCAGAGTGGCAAATGCACTGTCTTCATGGAGTGAAATGGCAGGTGTTACTTCCATATGAGGAAGTTGGGTGGGGGCACAATCTTCTGGCTCACAGTTTGGTTTTTTCTTTTTTAAGATTTTATTTATTTATTTATTTGAGAGAGAGAGAGAGCGCATGGCAAAGCACAGGGGCATGAGCAGGGGGAAGGGTAGAGGGAAGGGGAGGGAGAGGGACAAGCAGACTCCCCACTCAGCACAGAGCCTGATGCAAGGCTCCATCTCATGACCCTGAGATCATGACCTGAGCTGAAATCAGATGCTTAACCGACTGCATCACTCAGGTGCCCCAGGCTCACGGTTTCAATATAAGGGCAGAAACCAAGAGTCCCAATATCCAGAATAGTATGCCCATGAAAAGACATCAAGCAGCTATCAGCTATTTAGGTGAACTGTGGTAAGGAGGAAAAGTCAGAATTGAGATTTCTATCCTAACTAGATTCGTTCTGTATCTGCAGACCCAAAACATGGTGATGAATATGGCAGGAAGGAAAACGGAGAAGAAATAACATTTACTGTGTGTGCATTATGCATTGGGTTCTGGGTCAGACACTTTACACAGTTTATCTCGGCCAACACTCTCAGCAACCTTGCAAGGTCAGTAGTGCTAGTCCCATTTTGCAGCTGGGAAACTGAGGCCCAGAGAGGTGAGATGACTCTAGTAAATATCAAGCAGGGATTCAAGCCCAGGACACTCTTCCCAGGACCCATTTTCTTCCCACCACACTGTGATGCCTTGCAGTCCACACTGATATACACAGAACAACTGCATTTTAAATTGAGTAGTTCTTCACAGTCCAAAGAATACATCTGTATTTCACCCCCGCCCCCCATTATTTGGGTTTGGAGGGTAGAGTGGAGAGGATCTCAAGCTAACCAGACCAAAGCAGGTGCTCTAATTTTCACCCCTCCTAGGCCATCAGCAGTGGACTCCTGTGGCATTAGAGGCTCCAGAGCCTAGAGGCATCATGGGACCCAGTCAGTCAGGCTGGAGGAACTAAGCCTAAGGAAAAGTTATTCTTCTTTAGCCAGAGTGCACCCTGGATAACATAATCACTCTGAGCAAATGTGCTTAGCTGCAACAGCTCAATGATCCCCTGTGCTATGGGCGAGCACCACAATTTCCAGAGTTTTCATATGGACCAAAGGCCAAATTTCCCCACATTTCAGAGAAAGGGGGGCTTAGAAGTGGGAGGCAATCCACAACTATGGCATAAAAACCAGGACCCTTACTTGCATCCTGGGCCCTAGCATAACACCAGGCCTGTCCTTCTGTCCAGGAGCCTGGCTTGTGATGCTCCACCCTCACACAGCTAGACACAGCTCCACCGTGTCTGCTCAGGAGCCTCTAATCGCCCCATCAGCTGCACAAACAGCTCTTGCTCTGGGCACCAGCCTTGACCAGCCACCAGCTTTAAAGGGCCTTCCAGAGGGAGGTAAAAGGAAAGAAGATGACAGCCCTAGGGGATGGAGCTTCAGAGAAAAAAAATGATGAAGCCCAGAGAAGGGTCCAGGGAGAATCAGAGGGGAGAGTGTGCCCCTAAGGTTGTCACATAGCTGATTAGCTGTGAAGCCCAAAATAGAACTCAGGATTCCTGACTCCGGGCCTGGTGACTTGAACCCCTGGCACTTCTCCCTTGAAGCAGGTATCTTGACCTACTTCTCAGAAGCCGCAGGGAAAGAACAGCCTGTAAAAACAATGCCCAAGTATAGGAGCAGGTGGGTATCCAAGGGCTGGAGAATGCATCTCCACAACACAGGAAACAGCCCACGAGCCGGGTCAGTAGGACGTGCTCTTGGCCAGGTTCCTGGAATTTGCCTTGGGCTGCAGGAGGGACACAGGGGGACAGGGCAGCCGGCTGCTAAGAGACCAGTGCTTGAGCGTCTGGGTACAGAAGGCTGCTACAGACAGATTTCCCCTCTAAACCAGACTTTACCAGAGAGTGAGTGAAGTTTGAGGTATCGATTATTGACATATCAAGGATGAAAAGTACTAAGCAGATTCTCCTGGTCACTGCCCTCTCCACTGTCTCTGGTTCACCCTGTGTTTATCCTCCAGAGCAGAGCCAGCTTCCCTTCATTAGCTGCTGCTGCCTGTGGTCCCTGAAGAAGAAGCTCCTTTCCCACGTGAAGTTCAAATCCATGTCCACTCGCTTCTAGTAAAAAGCTCAGGGATTATGACGCCCTTTGCCCTGACTCTTCTGTCCTTTCACTCTGTCCTTGTTCCCAGCTGTCAGGAGCCACCTGTTCCCCACCCATCACCTCCCATCTCCAGCCTGTGGGATGCTTGCTTCCACTGGGACACACTGAAAGACTTGGAGGCCCATGCATCATATTCATCCATTGAAAGGCATGACTTAGAAGAAAGAAGGACATGGCAAGTGAAGGGCTGGTCAGACAGATGATCTCAGAAGGTCAGGTTCCAGACCTTGGCTAAGGAGACCTACATGGCACCACAGCCAGAAGGAACAGGTTTGCCCAGAGCCTGGCCAATCTGTTCAAAGCTTGGTTTAAGAGAGTGGGAGAGGGAGAAGCAGGCTCCCCGCTGAACAGAGAGCCCGACACAGGGCTCGATCCCAGGACCCTAAGATCATGACCTGAGCTGAAGGCGGACGCTCAACCAACTAAACCATGCAGATGCCCCTGAAATCAATATCTTGAAGAGATGTCTGCACTGCCATGCTCATTTGCAGCATTATTCACAATAGCCAAGCTATGGAAACAACCTAAGTGCCCATCAACATATTGCTTGGTAGGAGGGATGACAGATACTTCACATGGCCCTATTTACATAATAGACCTTATTCCACAGGTGAGGAACCCATTTTTGTGATTATGCCAATCTCTGAGAATGTCTAGTCCAATTCTGTACTCAAGAACTGAAGGAATAACTATGGGATGGACTCAAGGGTTCTAGGGCCCACTGAAGTAGATTCTGGTCAAAATTCCACTTATGACCTGACTCAAGTAGACCCTCATTCCAGCCAGTGGGCAATAGCAGTATTAAGAAGTATTCTGAAGGATTAGTGTTATGTCAAAGTCATTGTCCAGTAATCCCTAAGTGATCTTTTTTTTTATGGCCACAATCCCCTTTGGGAAAGGGTAGAAGAAATATAAACAGTCTAGGGGCACCTGGGTGGCTCAGTTGGTAAGCGTCTGCCTTCGGCTCAGGTCATGATCCCAGGGTCCTGGGATCGAGCCCCGCATCGGGCTCCCTGCTCTGCTGGAAGCCTGCTTCTCGCTCTCCCACTCCCCCTGCTT